CGCTGCACCCACTGAGCCAGCCAGGCGCCCCCACTAGAACATTTTTCTTGGTGGCGGGAGAGGTTGAAGCAAACCGGAGCAGTTACGTGGTTCCGCCCTTTCTCTGCCACCTGCTAATAGGACCCACCTGCCTTAAGCCATGCTTCTCCCTTTCCTTGTTTATCTTCTTCCAAGTATTATTTCACACACACACACAAAAATCCTTTTGGGGACCTTTAGTATTTCTGAGGTTGATCTCGCTTAGGATCTGAGACCTCCCTGTTCTGTACTCTGTCACCGGGATGCCAGTTCCCCGAGGCCACGATGCCTGTCTGGTTCCGCATCTTTTGGAGTGGACTGCCACGTAGGAGATACTTAATCAATATTGTCGACATACCAAATCTTAGGCCATTTTTTCTCCGTTTAAATATGAGCTTCGGGGGCACCGGGGTGGCTTAGTCAGTTGTGTGTTCGGCTCTCGATTTGGGCTCAGGTCATGACGTCACGGTCGTGGGATCGAGCCCCATATCGGGCACCGTGCTGAGCATGGAAACTTTAGACGTGGAGAATCTCCAAAATAAATAATTAAATCTTAAAATAAGTATGAGCTTCGAAAAGGGCTTCCCTGTACGCCCCCTTGGTTTCTTTAAATGTCCCCTGTCCCATCTCTTCCGTATGATTTATGATGATAGTGTGGAGACTTCTGTTTTAGACTCTTTCAGCCTTCTTAACGCCAGATAATCATTTGTGTTATAAGCCTGTGTTCTTCTCTATTGCTGTATAACAATTTAATCACAAATATAAGCGGCTTGCAACCATACCCGTTTGTCTCACAAGGCTACAGTCAAGGTGTCGGCTGAGGCTATGGTCTCGTCCAACACTCTCTCTCCTTCCAGGCCCGCTCACTCGGATTATCAGCTGAATTCGGGTCCTCGTGGTTGTAGGGCTGAGGGCTCCCGTTTCTTGGTAGTCGGGAGCCAAAGGCTGCCCTCGGCTCTTAGAGGCCGCCTGCAGTTTCTTCTCATGCGAAGACCCACCAGAGGACCCCTGATAATCTTATTTGGCTTCCTCCCGTACGCTTCCCTCACACGCATCCAGTCGCCTCTGACGCGCACTACTGGTTGGAAGCATGTCCTAAGTCCCACCGTGCTCAGGGAGAGAGGATCGCACGCCAGCAGGAGCACCAGGAGGGGGGGACGGTGGAGGAGGCCGCCTTCATTAAGAATCTGCCTGCCACGGCCTGGAAACGTTGTTTCCGGACTTGAGTAACGTGCTTTCTTGGGAAGTATACTTTCTGAACCGTAACCGCTGTTTATCTTAACTCCCTAACTTGTTACTGAAGTATTAATAGTATCGATTACATGTTAAAAATAATGTCGTTCCCCCCCTTTACCTCTAGGTTCCTGTTCTCTCTTCTACGCAATTCAAAATGCTGTGGACTTAGATTTTGCATTTGTGATCTTACACAAATTAGTACATTATAAATTATGTACGTAGCGATACGTGTTACTGTCGCATACAGAAAGCTTTGTTTCCTGTGCCTAATGGATGATTTTAAGCGATTTATGGATAATCTTAATTTCACGTAATTTTTCTTCATACCCTCTTTTTTTAGCCATAACTGCCTCACATCCTGAAATGTGTCCACAGATACTATTCGTGGCTATGGCACGCATGGCGAGGAGCTCTTGAGAAGTATATTTGTCTGCTATGACACTATATTAGATCTGCCTCATTACTTTTTTTAAAGTTTAATTCTTCATTTTAGAGAGAGTGAGAGCACATGTGAGCTGGGGAGAGGGGCAAAGGGAGGGAGGGAGAGAGAGAGAGAGAGAGAGGGAGAGAATGAATCTAAAGCAGGCCCCACCCTCAGTACAGAGCCTGATGCGGGTCTTGATCCCATGACCCTGGGATCATGACCTGAGCCAAAAATCAGGAGTCAGACGCTCAACTGACTGAGCCACCCAGGCGCCCCTACATCATTGTTCTTAATTCACTCTTCCCGTAGCCTGTTTCTTAAGCTTCCACTTTCCAGGCTATGTATCTAGTTTTTAAGCGATTTATTCCTCTTGTCCTGTTCATCATTTCATTTATTTTTCTTTCTACCCTCTCATCTCTGTTAATGTCTTTCTTAGGGTACGACTGGCTTGCGTGCACCTTTCCCATAGGTCTTAGAGTGCATTCCTATCTGTAGATGATGCTCTGAAGTACTGAATCTTTATATGTAGGACATGACTGAGCGGAACTTAATTGATAGCAAGTAGACAGTCGCCTTCTGAATGCGAAAGACCACATCTTTGCTCAATGTGGAGGTTTCTCTCATTTTTAATTAATTCTTTAGAAGGCTAGCAAATACCATGTATTCTATCCTGGCACCAAAACGATATTCTTCTTTCAGATAAGTGTTTTCAACCTACCTCTTATTTTCTTATATTACATTTATTTTTCACTTACAACTAAACAGCCCTGTACGTTCCTGATGACCAGATTTAAAATAATGTTCTTCTGAAGCTTTGATAGTAACTTTGTATTTTTTTTTTTCCTTTGGTTTCAATCTAAGCAATGCCCTCTGGTCCACAACCAGTTTTTTTTGTTAAAACCTTGACAGTCCTTTTCCTAAAACCGTATTGCTTCCTCTCAAAAAATAACCAAAAAATATTTAAGCCTATAACATCCTGCCTTTTCCATGGAAATGAGGTACATCGGCATTTGGATTCCCAACGTATGAACCTCCGCTAGCTAACGGCCCCCAAACCCCTCCGCTAGACTTCTAAGCACAGTAGTTGTTTAAAGTTCATAGTTTAGTCGCTGAAACTATTGAAAATGTATGCATTTCTTGGTCAGATATGATGTGCGGCCAGTGTCTTTTGAGAGTATAAGGAGGACACCTGTTTTTCCAATCAGATGTACAATAGTGTGGTCCACTGGGAACGGGTGGCTACTGAGCCCTTGAAACGTGGCTAGTCCACATTGAGATATGGTGTAAGTGTAAAATACATACCTGATTTCCAAGACTTCGTGAACAAATATCAAATACCTCAGTAATGTTTATATTGAGTCCACGTTGCAATCATAATATTTTAACATATTTGCTTAAATGTATTAGAATTAATTTAACCTGTTCATTTTACTTTTTCAATATGGTAACTGCAAACTTAAATTACATACGTGGCTCACATTGTATTTCTTCCGAACCTCGTTGGTCCGGAAAATCTTATGCATTTACTTGTCTTTAGCAACTACTATCTCTGAATTTTTTGCTCCTGAAGGAAATTCGAGAGTAAATTCTGAAGTCTCTCTGGGCAAAAAAAATTCACTTAGTTTTCCTTGATGGTTCCACTAAGGACCTAAATATATAACATATCAAAGTTAGGAAGTGTATAGAAACTTTGCCAGAGGGAGACGGTGGGTTAGAGTCTTACATACCTCACCTACCTTGGTATGAGTTGAATTTTTTCCCCATCTTCAAAACCTGATTAAATTTGCACATCAATGTCAACTCTCTTCCTCAGCAATTTTTTATAGCCAAAAAGCCAGTGTATAAAGAGGACAGTAGCAGTGTTCTGCAGTTTTGCAGTAACACGTAGTGACTTACTCTCATAGAAGCTCTGAATGACAGAATGAATCAACATACTCTACATCTCGTTTGTTTACAGCCTGGAAATTGACAGCAAGAGGGGGTGACCATTTGTAATTCACTTAACTAAACTGGAGGCAGGGACGTAGGCAACAGATAAAAACATTCTGCTTCCTGCACTTAATATCACCTGATACTTGGGTTTGGGGTAACTCTGTGGAAAAAATTTACATTAATAGTCTGTATGAAATGAAAAGTCAGAACCAAAGAACTTTTTTTGGAATTCCTAATGGTTTGTGCTGGTCATTTTTTCGCCCCTCAAGATCTTTTTACCATAGCTTTATTGAGATATAATTTGCCTATCACACGATTCATCCTTTTCAAGTAGACAGTTTGTTGGTTTTCAGTATATTCGGTCACGCACCCATCACCACAATCCAACATTAAAACATTTTCATCACCCCAAAGAATAACCCCACCACCCCAACCCTCAGCAACCCCTAATCTACTCTTCGTCTCTGTGGGTTTGCTTATTCTAGACATTTCACATCAACAGAATCATACACTTTGTGGTCTTTTGTGACCATCTCCTCCCACTCAGCGTAATAGTTTCAAGCTTAATGTTGTAGTAGAACCTCATTCCTTCTTGTGTGAGCAAATAATATTCCATTGTATGGATATACTATATTTGTCCATTCATCAATCAGTGGAATTTGGATTATACTTTCTCAACACAGAAACAAATGATGAAGGTAATCTTTACATTCGGTACTAACCTTCCCCTGCATTCTCCTATCGAACCTCATCGTAGTTTAAGCAGGTGTTAGTATAGTCACCATGATTTTCTAGGTGACGGAGAGGAGGCTCACTAAGCCGAATTTGCCTAAGATCGCACAGCAGTTAAGAGCTCGAACTTGGACCCAAAGCCTGTTCGTCCGGCTCCAAAGCACGTGTTTTCTTCCTTGTTGCCACAGCCCCCTCCCCCGGCTGGCTCCGTCCCTTAGTGGTTTTGTTGAGTTATTACTTTGTGGTTTCTTGGCTAACTTTGCTATTGTTGCTTGATTTAATATACTGTTAGATACAGCAAATGGGCTTGAAAAATCCTGTTAACGTGGCCTCTCCTGATAATTCAGTGGATAAGGCGGGAATGTTTTCCGGGTGATGATATACCTCATAGTTTAGCAACAGTACATAGAACAACAGATTGTAGAGGCCCAAGGGTGTACTGGGGGGGCTCACTTCTTTTCCCTAGCTCATGAAAGATGTCGGTAATGACCTGTATGAAACCATGTTTGCATTAATAGACCTAGTTTATGATATTTGTAAAAGCCCCAACGTCGAAACTTTTAAATTGTATCCATCTTGTCATACATAGAGAAATGCTTAATAAAATCTGTTTATAGTGAAAATATAAATTCTCTCTCGGATTCCTTTTCTTTCGTAGGGTTCTGTAGCTATAGCTGGCGCTGTTATTCGCTGGCTAAGGGATAATCTTGGAATTATAAAGAGCTCGGAGGAAATCGGTGAGTATGTTCCAACAAAGGATTAGGATCTGAATAATGGAAGTTTTTACCTTTGCTTTGTGTGAATACTTGTGATTTGAGCCATATGCGACATTAAATGAAATGAATTCCTATTATGAGTTTGATTTATACACAAAAGACTATTTTGTGAAGATTTATAAAACAACAAATTGACATAAATAGTGACGGTTATTCACAAACTGGCAAGGTAAGGGCATAAAAACTACCCAAGTGTAAAATCCGGCAGCAAAGATTACCAGAATCTGCAGGTAAAGTGGTCCATTTAAATCTATCTGATGAGAAGGAACTTTACCTCTGAGATTAGAGTGAGCGTTAAAACCCCAGCGCCTTTCATTTAAGTAGTCATGTGGCAATTTCCCATCTACGGATAATTATGTGATCCCATTACCCTCTCTTTCATCTACCTGTTTACTTCAGCCCGAAGGGGGGGACAATCAGAAACACATTGTGGACTGGGGACGCCCTGGAGGCCGCTTTTTTTTTATCTCCTAGCCAACAACCTTAAAAATAGTGGAAATGAGTTACGATCCCTTAATGAAAGCAATCCAGCTCCTTTACTTCTCGGTGCGGCCAAAGTGGTTCTCGCCCCTCCTCGCTTAGTGCCAGAATTAGGAACATTGTGCCGCGCTAGTGAATAAGAAATCAAAAGCCGTATCCTAATTTTTTATACAGCTGTGTTTATTGACCAAAATAATAGAATATATTAGAGTAATTTTTGTTTTTCTCCCCTTTTTTTTTTTTTTAATGTTAGAAAAACTTGCTAAAGAAGTAGGTACTTCTTACGGCTGCTATTTCGTCCCTGCGTTTTCAGGGTTGTATGCGCCTTACTGGGAGCCCAGTGCCAGAGGGTAAGAACTGCGTGCGAGGTATGCTTTTGTGGGTCTTGATTTATTTACTAAAGTCACTAATGACTTAGTTCCTGGTTTCCTATCTATTTTCAAATGATTTTAAAGTGTCGAGGAAACCTCTTCTGTTTGGAGAGCATAACTTCAGAACCTTTAAATTCCGAGAGGTTACAAATCATCTGACAATAAGGCCCTGCCTGCCACGTCCATGTTCATGTCAGTGTTGTGATCATTTATCTTCAAGGCATCTGCAAGCTACGCACAAGGGACATCGTCCAAATGAATTCTGATTTGGTGTTATGTTATTGTCATCTGTTCATCTGGATCCTGGACTTTTTCCTATGTGGATGCAGGATTGCGGACTGTATGACTTTTCCAAGCCGCTTCGTGTTTATGTCCGTTTTTTTTTTTTATGTGCTTTTTTTCCCCCCTGAACATCTGTATCTACCGAGGTCAACCTTTCCATACTCAGGACATTTCAGATTGGTGACTCGTTTACTCCACTCTAATCTTACAAGTCTTTTTTTTTTAATCTTACAACTCTTTGTGTGTGTTTTTAGGATCATCTGTGGACTCACTCAGTTCACCAATAAATGCCATATTGCTTTTGCTGCATTAGAAGCTGTTTGTTTCCAAACCCGGGAGGTAATAATATGGGCTTTTTTCTTGTGCTTAATGTGCTTTTGTCACTCTTAAACAAATTATATATTAATGCTGAACGTTTATTAAATAACGTAAATGTATTAAATTATCAGAGGTGCCTGGGTGGCTCATTCGGTTAAGCATCTGACTCTTGATTTCTGCCCAGGTCATGATCTCACTCTTTGGTGAGTTTGAGCCCCACGTCGGTCTCTGCACTGACCCTGAAGAGCCTGCTTGAGATTCTCTCTCTCTCTCCGCTCCTCCCCTGCTCGCAAATTTTTTCCTCTTTTTCTTAGCTGTCATTACCTTTTTTAAAATGTTTATTATTTTTGAGAGAGAGAGAGAGAGAGTGCGTGTAAGCAGGGGAGGAACAGAGAGAGAGAGACAGACAATCCAAAGCAGGCTCTCCAATGACAGCAGACACCCTGATGCAGTGCTTGAACGACTGAGCCACCTAGGCGCCCTGCTGCCATAACCTTTGGAATTCCTATTATCCGCCAGGTGCTGGGTGTTTGACCCTTGCGGGGGGTGGGGGGCGGATGCTGAGTGGTACATGTTAGGCAAAGGAAATGAATAGCTCAAACATAGGCATCGAGGCAGGAAACCAGGGTGCAAAATTGAGGTGTTTGGCATGGCTGGCTCTAAGGGTGAGGGCAGAGGTGTAGTGAGGGAAAAGATCGGTGTGTCTACATCAAGGAAGGCTTGGAAGACCAAAATAAGAAATCTACATTTTCTTTATATATATGATTTATTGTCAAGTTGGCTAACATACAGCGTATATACAGTGTGCTCTTGGTTTGGGGGTAGATTCCCCTGGTTCATCGCTTACACACAACACCCGGTGCTCATCCCAGCAAGTACCCTCCTCAATGCCCATCACCCATTTCCCCCTCCCCCCCACCCCTCCATCGTCCCTTAGTTTGTTCTCTGTTTTTAAGAGTCTCTTACGGTTTGTCTCCCTCCGTCTCTGAAACTATTTTTTTCCCCTTCCCTTCCCCCATGGTCTTCTGTTTTGTTTCTCAAGTTCCGCATACGAGTGGAAACATACGATATCTGTCTTTCTCTGACAGGAAATCTAAATTTTATTCTGTAGACTTTGGGAAGCTCTTGATCAGAAGACTGCCATTTTCAGAGATGTTACTACGAAGTAGCAGTTTAATTATGCTCATTATGTTCCTTGCGTTGGTTTCTTTAAGATTTTGGATGCCATGAACCGCGACTGTGGAATACCACTCAGCCACCTGCAGGTAGACGGAGGGATGACCAACAACAAAATCCTTATGCAGCTACAAGCAGACATTCTGTACATCCCAGTAGGTCAGTAAGCGTTGGGTCCTTTAAATGCCAAAAGTAGTATTTCTTTTGCAAGAACGGGTTTTTTAGGCGTAGGGAGCTGCGAAGATGCTGATGAAAGCTGTTGCTATTGCCCTCTTCCCTCAGTGAAGCCCTCGATGCCCGAAACAACCGCCCTGGGAGCCGCCATGGCAGCGGGGGCTGCGGAAGGAGTTGGTGTTTGGAGCCTCGAGCCCGAGGATTTGTCAGCGGTTACGATGGAGCGGTTTGAACCCCAGATCAATGCTGAGGGTATGTGTAAAAGATGGAAATTTAGGGGTCTTGATCTTGCAGTCGTGAGTTCGAGCTCCCGCGTTGGGTGTAGAGATTACTTAAAAATCAAGTGTTTTTAAAAATGAAAATGTAATGGTGTCCTGTGGAGGGGACCTTAGTGAGAGAGAGTTTGCCTTTGTGTTTGTTGTGGGTTAAGACCCTAAGTAAAATAGCAAATACCACTGTGTTAGATTGGCTATGCTGGGTATGGCTGAGAGAAAAAGCTCCTTAGGGTTTTAAAATCTTGATTTATCTATTTTGACATGGGGGGGGCGGGGGACACAAGGGGGGAAAGAGAATCCCAAGCAGGTTCCATGCTCAGTGCGGGACCCATCACAGGGTTCGATCTCACAAACCGAGATCATGACCTGAGCCCAAATCAAGAGTCGGACGTTCAACCGACTGAGCCACCCCAGCACCCCAGAAGTTCCTTATATTAAAAAAAACCTTCCAGAATCCCTTCTTTTGCCATTCACTTGTATTTACAATATTTTCATGCAGAAGGATAACGCAGCTAAACTATCAGTTCTAGCTTGTTAACAGCCTTTTTTAAAAGTAAGAAGGGAGATAACTGACCATCTTTTGGTTCCAGGGGCCTAGTTTTAGGACATGATTAGCTAGGCTAAGGGCCATTCTGATAACTCTTAAGCACAGCAGGCCTAGCCCGACAAAAGTAGCAACAATGTAAATAAGTGAGCCTTAAATACCTAAATACCTGACTCACTCTTATAACAAACTAAGCTCTGACCGACACCTTTATTAAAATATAGTGGTGCATCTCTCAGGTTGAAATAAACGTGAGTATAAAGATAAGGTTTTATATATATTGTGGCAGGATCCCCTCCCTAAGGAAAGAAAGAAAACAAAAAAGCCTCAAAGCAACCTGGTTATACGCGTACATGACAACATCCCTCGCGACCTTGTAACACGAAACCATTTCATCCGACTGCACGTTTGTGCGTTACCATATATGGGAGACAAAGAAGTGAATATATAAAAAAACTATGCCACGTGGCATTCGGGGCTCAGTGCTTCGGGTACGAACCCAACTGAGCGGTGCCGGCACGAGTCAAGTTGCTTCCTGGGAAGAAAAGCCTCAATGTCATGACTCTGCGCGAGAATCCTGCTGCACTATTGAATTTGGTTTTATAACTTTTTTTAAAAACTTAGTGTAATATAGCATCCAAGTGGCTTTTACACTACTGGGAAATAAGCTTCCAAATGTACCTGTGTTTAATTTTCTGGAAGCCTCAGCCAGCACTGCTGAATTTTATTCCTTTCCACAGATGAGAAAATGGATTGTAACACTAGTAATTTTATAGTCAGATGGTATACCGTATAACTCAGTGTAGAAATGTGTTTCGAAATCTGATGTTCTATATGTAGGTAATTTTTAACTTTTCACATTGCGTGAAGTGTGGAGTTCAAAACATTTTTCTACTTCTGAAAAAAATCATTTTCTTAGTAAACAATCGTCAGAGTGAGTATATGGCCTCGAGATGCTAATCCCACTCTTTAGCAAGGAAGTTTTGACCAGAGAGTCTCTTGTTTTCCGAGGAGAGCCTTCTTTGCTATTTTTTTTGGCCTTGGCCCAGAGTGGGTCAGTTAGGTCAGCTGTCCTTCCCTTCACCAGCCCTACTCCTCTCCCCACAGCAAACAACGCACGTGCGTGCGCGCGCGCGCGCACACACACACACACACACGTGCGTGATGGGCATCTCCGTATAAACAGTTCATTCTCCAGGAAACTTTTTTTTTAGAGCTGAGTACAGGCCAGAAATTGCGACATGGGGATATAGAGCTGAACAAGAGCAAGTCTTCGCCCTTCAGGAGACTCCTGGATCTTGGGAGAGGCAGACAAAGCCATGACAGTTGACTGTGGTCAGCTGACGGCCTGAAGTGTGAACTGCTGTGGGAAGACAGAGGAGGGGCATAGTGGGGCCCTGGAAAGCTTTCTAAAGCAAGTGATATTTGAGCAGCGTCGCCTAGGTGGCACAGGCTTCAGGTGCTACAGAAAGGCTGGGAGGCCTGACAGGGACGCACCGGTGGCCATTTTTGTTTAGTTCTCTTATCGTGGATTTCCTTCTTACAGAAACCCTGCCTCACAGGAATGTAATTTGAATCTTGTGAGAAATCCATACTTGTTCAGTCCTTCGGCTAGACCAAAAGTAATTCTCCTTCTAGTCTTAACGTATTACAGTATACCCTGTATCCCACCTCCCCCCCCCCCACCGTACCCCCTGAAAAAATATAAAAGACGTTAAATGGGATTTCCCTTTCTAATTCGTCACTACTTGTTTGTGAGTGGCCTGGTCCTCCCAGGTAGCCTGTGTCCCAGCCTCCCTCCACCTGTACACCATGCTGAATTTGAATTGCCCCTTCACCTTCCAAGCGTGCGTCTCTCCCAGTCCCTGGCCGTCGCCAGCACCCGTACTCTCCTGAGTCTGAGTTCTGGTAAAGCCCCCCATGCGAGGGGCTTTACTTTAATACGTGTCACAATTTGTTCAAAATGCTGAGTGAACATGAGTGTGGTGTGTAGAATATCTCAGTAAACTACTTTCAGACTTATGTGTTTCCCACCTTCTATTTCTAGAAAGTGAAATTCGGTACTCTACGTGGAAGAAAGCTGTGATGAAGTCAGTGGGTTGGGTTACAACTCAGTCTTCAGAAAGTGGTAAAAATGTTTTTATTATTCTTGCCGCTTTGTCTTAGTGCGTTAAATAACTTATTTAAGTGTCTAACCGTTTACACTTTGCAAGGCTGCTACGAAGAAAATCAGTGGCTTCTGCCCAGAGTTTCTAACATTTTCAGAACACTTTAGAGATGTAGGTTATCAGGTTGATATATACATACTTAATTGTGTCCTGCCTGTTTTTTCCTTATTAAGTTTATTCCTGGGACTTCAGTGGATAACTTAGTTTTCTAAAAGTAAAATGATTTCTTTCTCCTCAATGAAAAAGAAAATCAACTAGATTCTTCTTTTTATTTCTTTTTTTTCACTTAGTGTCTTCTATTATCTTTTTGGGGGGCTGTCTTCATGACCTGAACCAACCAAAACTTATGTTAATTGCTCAATCTATGTCACTACTTCCTAGGCTGATTCCAAGTTCTTAGCGAATGTACATTGGGTTAGAGAGGAGGAAATGTACCAAACTGTAAATTAGAAGTGTCATAACAGATTGGGAAATGCTCTTGGCAGAAAATACAGGACCATTTTTTTCAGTCCCTTAAGCAGGCAGGTTTTGGGCTTAAGTAAACCCTTTAGTTGTAAACAGACTTAAGCTGCTGTTACTATGCGCTTGATCATTAAACAGGCTTGAACACATCTTTAACGTGCCATAATATTTTAATTCTTTGCTAAATGCAAGATTTAGAACATCATGAATAGAATGATGTCCAGTAATATATTGAAGCACATACTTTAAGAGAGAAGAGTTTATAAATGAAATATTACCTGCCTTCTAACCCAAAAAGTGAGCGTAGATCCACTTTGAATGTATCTGGCTTTTAGGAAATGCTTCCTGAAACCATGTGTTACCACAGATCACTGATCTGTATTTTCAGTCCTGGGCGTTCCTACCTGAAGCTTTTTTTTTTTTTTTTCTCCTAAATAAGCTTAGTATCCTTTTTCTTTAAGTCTTTTGTTCTTAGACACACTTCGTTTTATAAGGTGGTGGCAAAGCTTTTCTTACTATACCTTTTGCAATTTTGAGACCCTTTGTAATTAAACCTCTCAATCATAAGTATTTTCCTAGCACAGTGCTACTTGCTGTGCAAGATATACATGCACCCTGATTTCTTTTATTTTCTAGTTGTCCTTAATCAATGGCTAATGAGAAGTTGAGTCATATGATTTCTCTGACTCGTATTTTATTTTATTTCATTTTTTAATGTTTATTTATTTTTGAGAGAGAGAGAGACAGAGACAGAGTGTGAGCAGAGGAGGGGCAGAGAGAGAGGAAGACACAGAATCCGAAGCAGGCTCCAGGCTCCGAGCCGTCAGCACAGAGTTCGACACGGGGCTCACACCCATAAACCACGAGATCATGACCTGAGCTGAAGTCAGACACTTAATTGACTGAGCCACCCAGGTGCCCCTGGATTTTTTTTTTTTTTCAACGTTTATTTATTTTTGGGACAGAGAGAGACAGAGCATGAACGGGGGAGGGGCAGAGAGAGAGGGAGACACAGAATCGGAAACAGGCTCCAGGGTCTGAGCCATCAGCCCAGAGCCCGACGCGGGGCTCGAACTCACGGACCGCGAGATCGTGACCTGGCTGAAGTCGGACGCTTAACCGACTGCGCCACCCAGGCGCCCCTGGATTTTTGTTTTAAATAGCACAATCATCCCTGTGTCCCTCCCTGCACCACAGTGCGACACACACACACACACACACATACACACACACACACACACACACACTCACTTCTTAGTAGCAGTTGAAGATAAAATTTTAATTGCAAAATTACCACAAGACCAGTTGATCCTTTCACTTTGTTTGCATACCTTACTGTCAATAAACTTCAAATGAAAGAAAAAGTTGATGAAAGAAAATTACATGATTTCTTAGTTCTGCTGTCAGTATTGATGATAAAAGTAATTTGATTTTTTTGAGAGTTGTAGATTTTTTACGTTGTTTTTTTTTTGTTACAATTAGACCGCAGTGCGTTTAAGCCAGTTTGTAAATGTTGTGAAGTCGATTTATGAAAATCACTCTAATGTATATAATATGTTGAGTCTCTAAGCTGTACATTAAATCAGAATAATAATATTCAGCCAATGACATGCTAATTGTATTTCTTTAAGCAGTATAAGCCATATAACCATATATCAATAAGCTGTTATTCTGGAAAAAATAGTATATTCTCTTAATTTCTGATGCAGTTTGCCACTTTCGAAGAAGTCATATTTCTTATTTCAAACTATATTTGAATATACCGTAAACAATTTTTAGTAGACATTTGTGTGTCTTTAAAATGTAGAAGTGATTGGAGATTTGATACTTTTTGGAGAGAGCTTATCATAAATGATGAGCTTGGCTTTGCACTCCGCATTTGCACTCCAGACACGCCAAAACAACATTTTGGAAACAATTCACATTGGTTTAAATGTGTTTAAATGCACACAGCTATTAAATAACCAGCGTGTGTGTGGAGATACCGGTCAGTCACCAAAAAAGGATACATTTCCATTAAATCCATGCCACCTAAATTAGTACGGACTTGTGAATGCAGGCCCTGCTCACGATCTTCTTCGCAAACTAGAACTCAGTGTAGCCATGTCAGGAAAGCAGTTCTCAGAACTTGGCGTAACTAAAAAAACAACAAACAAACAAACAAGAAAAACCACCTAGCATAACTGATGGCTTGCTCTAAAAGAACTAGAATATATGTTCCCTTGCCTAAAATCAGGTTAAAATGTGGCCTCCACAAATGTGGAAACAAAAAGAAACCTTGTTTTTATCTGGAAAATAACATAAGCAATGGTAAAATGAAGAAAAATGGTTTATATCCCTCTTTAATCTACCTTCTAAGGAGAGAGAAATACAAGGCAAGGGGAAAAAATCCTCTCCCAAAAAGGCAAAGAAATGACAATCCAGTGGTTGTATATCCTTAACATTTGGAGGTTAATTTTGAATAGGCTTCTTTTATAAAGGGCATTAAATATTACAGAAACATAATTTTTAAATTCAAGAAAAGCATATGTGTATAAAGAATATTCTTTAACGGAAGGGATTTTGACAGAATTCAGGTTAGGAAATATCAAAACAACCATATTCTCAGGCAATTTTTTTATTATTTTTTTAAGTTTATTTATTTGAGAGAGCATGCATGAATGTAGGGGAAGGGCAGAGGGAGGGAGAGAGAAAGACAGAGACAGAGACAGAGACAGAGACAGAGACAGAGGGAGGGAGGGAGAATCCCAAGCAGTCTCTGTGCTGTCAGTGCAAAGCCAGACACAGCTGGATCCCATGAACCAGGAGACCATGGCCTGATCCAAAATCAAGAGTCAGATGCTTAACCTACTGAGCCACCCAGGCATCCACAGGGAGTTTTTTTAATTTATTTATTTTTTATATATATTTTTTAATTTTTTAATTTTATTCATTTATTTATTTTGAGAGACACAGAAACAGTGTGAGTAGGGGAGGGGCAGAAAGAGGGAGGGAGGGGCGCCTGGGTGGCTCAGTCGGGTTAAGCGTCCGACTTCGGCTCAGGTCACGATCTCACGGTTCCTGCGTTCGAGCCCCGAGTCGGGCTCTCTGCTGACAACTCAGAGCCTGGAGCCTGCTTCGGATTCTGTGTCTCATTCTCTCTCTGCCCCTTCCCCACTCGTGTTCTATCTCTGTCTCTCAAAAATAAAGAAACGTCAAAAAAAATTTTTTTAATCAAAAAAAAAAAAAGAGTGGGAGGGAGAGAGAGAATCCCAAGCAGGCTCCGCACCATCAGCACACAGCCCGGTGTGGGGCTCCAACTCACGAAACTGCAAGATCATGACTCGAACCAAAACCCAGAGCTGGACGCTTAACCGACTGAGCCCCCCAGGCGCCCTGGCAGTTTTTTTTTTAAATGTAAAATCACAGGGCACCCAGCTGGCTCAGCCGGTGGAGCTTGTGACTCTTGATCTTGGGATCATGAGTTTGTGCCCCATGTTGGGTGTAGAGTTTTTACTATGAATAAACAGATAGATTGAGCCCCGTGTTGGGTGTAGAGTTTATTATAAAAAGCTAGATCAATACGTTGATTGATTGGCTCATACAATTTAGTGTATAATTACAGTAATATTGTCAGGTATATTTCCTTACACACAGAAAGTTCCATGTATAAAAGGAAACAAAACCACTAAGTCCTACTCCTGAAATCATTACTACACCATATGCTACCTAACTTGGATTTAAATGAAAAATAAATTAAATTAAGAGAAAAAAGAAACCAAAATGAATATTTTAGCATAAAGTAGGGTTCGAAGTTCATTTTCAGCAGAGCACTATAACTCTTTTCTGATAGCTAAAGGATCTGTAATTTGAACCTTGGGGGAATTGGATTGCACATTTAGTATCTCCGGGGGAAGAGTCAAGAAAGCCAAAATCAACAGCCTCCCAAAAAGCTCTCTCTCCATCACCTCTCCTTTGCTTTGCCAGTAGAAGGCTTATGCGGGTCTATGTGTATTATGTTCTTGGCTACTTGCGCATGCTCTCTGTATTGTTTGTTAACTATCATAAGCCTTCGATATTGATTATATTTTTGATTTAAAGTAATAACTCTTTGCTAGCTTTTACGAATATACTATTTTTATAACTTATTTTGTTTTGCTGTCATGTGATTCTTAACACAAATATTGTAATTATGTGTCTCTCTTTTGGTTTGCTTGACTGGAATCCCCTTCTACTTGGATGACCACAGGTGACCCTAGTATCTTCTGTAGTCTACCCTTGGGCTTTTTTATAGTGAGTAGCATGGTAATGTTAATCGGAGCAAGGTACATCTCAGGTCAGTTACTCTTTAAATTAGACAATTTTATTAGCTAGCGCTAATGTATTTGTGTATAACTCAGCAGAAAATGTTCAGTGTTTTTCATTCTCCCTACGCGTAGGAACCTGGAAAATCCACGAAAGGTCTAATTAGTTAGACCACTTAATCCTTGAGGCAGTCAGAATTGAGGTCTGCGACTCTGCTTCATTCTTTTATGTGCAGTAAACGGCAATTTCTTTGGGGGGTACTTTCTGCCGGGAGCTGCAGCAGTAAAGCCAACGTGAAAGTAGTCTTATGAATGCTTAAATGGAAGGACTTTCCAGAGTGACAGATGACCGTTTAAGTATACTTCTGACGTTTCATTACATTGGCTTTCAAACGTCCAGAAGTTGGTCACGCTTCAAAAAGTTTGCTCTGCGAGTCTTAATATTTCAGTTCTGGTAAGAGTTTCATCCAGAGTATGTCTGAGCAGAGTCTCCGGAAAACTCTAGAACTGGGGAAACCTGATAGTGACTTTTATTTTAGTTGCAAGACTGTATTTTGTGAACTGCAGTTTTAAAAATGATTGCTAAAAGAAATTGGAGTTGAAATTAAAGCCGAATTATTTTTTGCACGTTAACTTGTGAATATTCTTAGAAATGTACAGTTGCTCAGCATGTTGTAAAATACGTTGCATAACCTGTGTTAAGTTGAATTTAATAATCCTTTTTGGAAGGGCTTAGACGGCAATGACTTCTTCCATATGTTACCAAGAAAGTGAAATGTTTCTTAAAGTTTCATAATTAGGGAAAGACTTGAATGATTTCTCCGAATTAGATGGTGGCCTGGGTTTCACGTACAGAATGTAAAGTTAACTGATATGGAGGGAATATCCAGATTGTATACAGATTGTAGAAATCTGACAAGCCTTAACTCCATTTTTCTTTCTGCTTCTTGTGAGTGTTTGGTGGAAAAGTCTACCTATTCCCTGGAACTATAATTTAGATTTATAAAGAAACTGAGATGCTATTTTAGGAAAGGCTCCATTATTGTCTCATTATCCTCAGTTTTTCTGGATGGTTTGGAAAAGGGAGAAAAATATTGCAACCGAATGTTTTCACTGATTTTGTTGTTGTTGTTTGTTTCTCCTGTTTGCCTGTTGGTACCGTGACAGGAACAAAAATGCCTGCTCTCCCTGAAAAATTGAGACATAGAGCCTATCTCTAAGTTAGGGGGTACGTTACTTGCAGAATTCTTAGGCTTCCAAAGAGATAAGGCTACCACCTGTAGGTTCTTTCTTGGTAACATATGCTGAGGTTTGAGAACACTGGGGATTGTTTGCCTTGGTAAACAGTTAGCAATAGTGTTAATATTTGCTGATTTTGGAATTGGCCTAGTTTATATTTGTTACCTTTTAACTCTGAAGCAGTAGTTAGAAATCATGTGGAATTGGTAGCTCCAGAAATGATTAAATAGTCTTCATTGCCTTAATTCTTGAACTGCATGTATGTTGTTATTGATATATGTGGTTTTTGTCCCCCGTTTTAGGTATCCCATAAATAATACCAACTCATGGATTCCAAAGATGCGAGCTCTTTGCCTAATGAGAGAATCCAACAATTGTCTCTTAATGTGATGACACTATTCATAGACTCTGATTTTATTTATAAGCCACTTGCTGCATGACCCTCCAAGTAGACCTGTGGCTTGAAATAAAGAAAATGCAGCAGAAAGAATGCTATAGAAACATTTGGTGTGTTTTTTAACTTCAAGAGTTAAGATTGGACCAGCCACCTTTGGGGTGGATTGGGGATTGCCATCACGTCCTGCCCCATTCCCTCTGAGATCTAGGAAGAATTCAGACCCTTCATTGGAATCTTTCATCAAACATATTCAAACGCTGATGGTCTGGGATTTGATTCTCTGCACTACACACACTTGATTCAGAGGTGATAACTAACCAGCTACAAATGAGTGGCTTTTTGTTTGTTTCTGTTTGACAGACCCTCAAAGGCCTCTTTTCTGCACATTAAGGAGACCACAGCCTCTTCACTGAATGTTTAACTGGAAACCTCTGCTAAATTCTTGAAATGGAAACTTAGTGCTCTCATAGCTTAGATATTTTTCGGAAAGGTATTGGCCAAAACTGAAACTCTTCAGACATTTTACGTGGTCTTGCTAATTCACTGAATTGCTGTCTGGATCTTACAGGGAAGGACCCTTTTTTCTTTCTTTTTTCATCTCTCCTTTTTATATTTCTTACTTTATATGTATAACATACATGCCTGTCTATTTTATATACTGAGAGTAGCCCATTTATAAATTAAGAGTACATTTTACACGATCTCACTAATTACACTGAATTTCTGTCTGGATCTTATAGGGAAGAACACTTTTTTTTCTTTCCATCTCCTTTTTATATTTCTGACTTTGTATGTATAACATACATGCCTTTATATTTTATATACAGAGGGTAGCCCATTTATAAATTAAGAGCACATTGTATCCAGTACGGTATAATGGGACTGGTCTTAAGTGGACCACTATATGTATAAATATTTTGGGGGAAAACACTGTGTACATTTTTGGGCAACAGTTATGCATATTTACCAGGAGAAACTTTTTCTTAAAGAGCCAGCATTTAAAGTTTAAGTATATGTTCTATGTCAATAAAAGAAAATGTACTTTATTATGACTTCACCCATATTTCTTCTACCTTACCTTTTTATTTCATTGTTTTGGCTGGATATGTTCCTTAAAAAGGAAAAAAGAGAAAAGCTATGGAATGCTATGGTAAACCTTGTTTTCCAACACAAGCTCTTAGGAATAAAGCCAAGGATCTCTTTCTATCCAAATATGTTATTCATTGCTGGCAAGCAATCATAATTTCTATTTGAGATCCCGGGGAGATATCTCCACTTCCTGTCCCATCACAACTGAAGTAAGGTTTGCAATTAGAAACGGCTGCCAATGAAACCAAGAACTTCTTCAAATACGTAGCGTTACATGTTATAAAAGCCAACATAATCTAGCCTCTTGATGTCAATTTTTTTAAATCGTAAAAGTAATTTCTGCTTACCACCAATAAGAAAATGACTGCCTCCTAATTATTTTCCTCACCCAGTGCCGAAAATGGGCAAATATGTATATATTAGCATAGCAGGTGTTGTTTGGAATGAATGGTCGCTCGCATTTGCGGTCCTGATTGCGCCGTTGCTAAATTAGGGAGTCCACTTGGATTCCATTAATGCAGCCGCCGCTCTCGTGACAAAGTGTTATGGAAAGGTACTGTGAAATCATTACTGGGTGGTGAGGGCACTTTTACACATAATTCTGTTTCTACAAAAGTAGGTTAATTGTACATAATTGTTAAATCGCTGTTCAAATAATTTTAAGACGACGTTAATTTTCTAGAAATGGCAATATTTATAAATGTTTGAAGGTGTGCACATTGATATTGAATGATAAATTGACTTAAAATAAATTGACCCCTCATTCTTACTTGCATCTCTCATTTATAGACTAGAACTTAGATCAGAGTTAAATCGAGAAAGATGTCTCAGGAAACCCGCAACTCCACTCTTAGCCCTTGAAAAGCCATACTCTGAAGAATGAACCAAGAGCCTACAAAGTAGTTTCTGGGATGAAGGGCACCTTAATCATCGTATGGGAAAAGACCTCCCTGTTCCACGTCAGCATCCAGAAAATACCCGGTGAGGTCAGCAGTCATCAGTAGGGTCTCACGCGGCTCACCATGCCTTTCTGCCAGCTTCATTCATTCTCTTCTCTCTACCTGGGTTGGCCGTTAGCGTCCAGTATGTCATTGTTCTCTCAGCCTGACAGCCAGTGCCCCAGTCTTCTGTTCTCTGGTTAATCAGGAGGACAAGTCATACACCTGTGCTTCTATAACGCCATCTTAGAAGTCTTAGTGTCTCTTTTGCGGTGCCCAAGCTCGGTTCTTGGGTTTCTGAGTGTTTTCTCTCGTGTGGGAATGAGGAGTGATAGCTACTTGTGACAAACCGACAAGCCAGAGGTGTCACAGCACAGAAACCAGCAGCATTGACAGTGGGGTAGGTAGTATTTAACTCACGGTGTCTACCCAATAGTAAATGGAAGTACAAAAAATGCGTTGCCGGCTCTAATGAGGTGTAATTGACACAGAGAAAACCGCACATCTCTAATGTATACAGTTGGACGGGTTTGGATGCGTGCAAACACCCCCGATACCACCACCACAATCGTGGGAATAAACATATCCACCTCCTCCAGAAGTTTCCTTGTTTCCCTCTGCTTTGTGTGTGTAAGAATGCTTAACAGGAGATCTACCCTCTTAACAACGTATTAAGTGCACGGTACTGTGTTGTTAACTGTATAGACGTTATATAGCAGATCCCTTGAACTTACTCTTCCTGCAAAAAAAAAAAATTTTTTTTTTAAGTTTATCTGTTTATTTATTTATTTTGAGAGAGAGCACGAGCGGGGGAGGGAGAGAGAGGGACTCCCACGCAGGCTCCACACTGTCAGTGTGGAGCCGGATGTGGGGCTTGAACTCACGAACCACAAGATAGTGACCTGAGCTGAAACCAAGAATCGGACGCTTAACCAACAGAGCCACCCAGGCGCCCCCGAGTTTACTCTTCTTGTGTAACTGTAACTTCTTACCTACTGAACAGCAGCTCCCCCTTTCCACATCCCCTGGTAACCACCAGCTCCTTGTCTGTTACTGTGAGTTCGATGTTTTTCTTTCCTTTTTAGATTCCACATGTAAGTGAGATCACGTAGTATGTGTCTCTCTGTTTCTGGCGTTACTTCACTTCGCACAGTGTCTTCCAGGTCCAATGATGTTGCAGATGGTAGGATTTCCTTCTTTTTTGAGGCTACATAATATTTCATTGTATGTATGTACCCCATTTTTCTCTGTCCTGATGCGGGGCTCGAACTCACGGACCGTGAGATCATGACCTGAGCCGAAGTCGGTCGCTCAACCGACTGAGCCACCCGGGCGCCCCTCCCTACTGTTTTTTTTTTTTTAGCGGAGGCACCATTTTACATTGCTACCACCCATGTGCAAGGGTTCCAAAAATTCTTTTTAACTGGAGTTTTATAGCTTATTTTATATAAAAATATTTAAATAACGAAGTCTACTTGATCCATTGTTTTTTGCAACCGAACAACTTTCATAAGGTCATATAATAGAAACCTGAGTGACTTTTGGGGCCCCTGGCTGCGTCTGTCAGTGGACCACGTGACTCTTGATCTTAGGGTTGTGAGTTCGAGCCCCATGTTAGGTATAGAGATTACTTAAAAAATAAAATCTTTAAAAAAAAGAACGAGCTGTTCAACTAGACGGATATCTTTATTTGCCAGTTTTCATCCTAGTTCAGGTAACTAATTCTATCTAACAGCATAATAGCCGACAGCATGAAGATATTTTTATTCTTTTTCTCTCTAAATTGTTTAAGTAACCTCTACGTGCCACATGGGTTTCAAACTCACAACCCCAACATCAAGAGTCTCACACTGTACCGACTGAGCCAGCCAGGCACCCCCCAAATACTTCGTTTTAAAAAGTAGCCTCAGGCCTTTTTCCTTTCTCGTTCAGTATTACACTTAAGTAGCTTTTTAAATTCCTCATTATGAAACCTGGTATTTTTCTCATTGCTTCCTTATTGTCTAACTAGTTTACAGGTAGATTTCATAAGTATCCAATTCCTTTATTTGTCACCAAAACAATGACAAAAGAATGACACTGTAGAAACATGGCAAGCTATCCAGGAAGAGTGAAAAGACGAGTACCTAGGCGTGTTCTCTTTCTACTAAAAAAACAAAACAAAACTAGGAGGTTTGCCCATGCTGCAAGAACAACTAAGAAGCCGTTGGTACTGTTCACTTACTGGGAAAGAAAGCAGTGATAACTGGTCAGGTGAGCGACAAGGGTGAGAAAACTTTTCGGGGTGTGTGTGAGAGCAATTAACCTAGTTTAAATATATATGATTGTTCATATGTGTAGTTTGGAACCGAGCTCATGTATTAACTGTTGATAAATCGAAAATTTTTAGCTTAAATTCAGAGGTCCTTGTACATGAATGTTTGTGGCAGTACTATTCATAGTAGCCAAAAAGAGGAAACAATTCAAACGTCTATCTGTTGATGAGTGGTATATCCACTCCAAAGTGGTATATCCACTCAACAAAAGGTGGTCTATCCATCAAGTGGAATATTAGTCAGCTATAAACATGAATAAAGCGCTGATACATTCATTTTGTAACACGGAAGAACCTTGACAACTATGCAAAGGGAAAGAAACTTTAAAAGCCACGTGTGGGGGCACCTCGGTGGCTCAGTTGGTTGAGCGTCTGACCGGCTCAGGTCACGATCGTGCAGTTCGCGATGTTGAGCCCCACGTCCGGGCTCAATGCTGTCAGCACAGGGCCTGCTTTAGATTCTCTGTCCCTCCCCAGCTTGCGTGCGCTCTCTGTGTCAAAAGTAAACATTAAATGGGGCGCCTGGGTGGCTCGGTCGGCTAAGCGTCCGACTTCGGCTCAGGTCACGATCTCACGGTCCGTGAGTTCGAGCCCCGCGTCGGGCTCTGTGCCGGCAGCTCAGAGCCTGGAGCCTACTTCGGGTTCTGTGTCTCCCTCTCTGTCTGTCCCTCCCACACTCGCTCTCTCTTTCAAAAATAAGTAAACACGGGGGCGCCTGGGTGGCGCAGTCGGTTAAGCGTCCGACTTCAGCCAGGTCACGATCTCGCGGTCCGTGAGTTCGAGCCCCACGTCAGGCTCTGGGCTGATGGCTCGGAGCCTGGAGCCTGTTTCCGATTCTGTGTCTCCCTCTCTCTCTGCCCCTCCCCCGTTCATGCTCTGTCTCTCTCTGTCCCAAAAATAAATAAAAGTTGAAAAAAAAAATTTAAAAAA